CTCCTTCACCATTCAATCACAAGATGGGAGCAGGAAAGGTGACTTAGTTGTGTTACTCTAAGAAAACTAAAAGTCCTCCCTTCATTGCTCATTTGTCTAGGGGGAAGGGAGAAGCACTTTTACTTAACTCTTCCTCTAATTCCCTAGCAGACCAAGCTCCCCCATGCACTAAGAATAGACGGTCTCTCAGCGTTCCCAAATCCATTGCAGGGGTATGGTCCCTGCATGGTTCTTGATATCACAGGAAGTTACAGTGCTGGGGCCTGGGAGAGACGAGGATACAGGGATCAGTTTAGCAGTGTGGAGGAGCAGATAAGTATGTGGTCCCCCTTGACATAAAGGAGCAGATAACCCTTGTTGTGCAGCAGCCGCAGCCCCACTGCAGGGGAGAAATTTTCATTTTATTGGCATTCAGCTTTAACTTCAGCAGATAAGAGTCAGGCTCCCTTTATGACCTGTGCTATCTTGCAGGGCTTTGTAGATCTAAAGAATGAATGGACAGCAATACAAGTGGTTTGGCAGATAAAGCAGCTCTCATTTAAAGCTCAACTTTAGGATAAGCAAATGTCAAAAAGCCATGTATATTATTCCTTGAATCCTGGTGTTCTTTATGCATTTCTTCCAGATCTGCGCAGTAATCTAGTGTGAAACTTTGCCTTTGTACAGGAGCTATAAAAGACAGCTCAATGCTGCTCCTTCCTTGTGCAGGGTAACTGGTCTCGTCACTGCCCCCCCTCCTGTAGATTTCTGTAGTGGGTGGAGCCTCCTGGGTCCCTCCAACAGCTCTGTTCTCTGCACAGGCTATGTACAGCACAGTGATTATGTCACTGCTACTTTTACAAAGTAATATCTGGACTTTCAGGGCATTAGGTGCACAGAAAGTGTATTTATATCCTTTGTGGCTACTGAGTTTTAATGCTCTGAATCCTTCCAGAAAAAGGTTTCTGTGCCTGGAGTTTTGTTTTAAATAATTTTTTTAGGGTTTTCATCTTTTCATAGGGTTAGGACTCATTAACACACTAAATCACAGCCAAATTACTTGTGTGCCCCGTGCAGATCTGTGTTTTGCCAGCACAGGGATGCACAGGTGTTGCATGCACCCCCATAGATGACTATTGGGACACACAACTGCATGGACACAGCCATTGTGTCCCAATCTGACATCTGTGTGGGTGCACGGTCCTGAACATACCCAGGATGAGTTCGGAGACATGAACCCACACAGATGTCACATTTGGACACAATAGCTGTGTCCGTGCCATTTGAACAAAGCCTTACTCTTTAGAAGACAAATGTTTTTAAAGTGAAATAAACTTTAAGGATCATCAGATGAAGGGTTCATACTACAACATGCACACCCCTTCCCCTTTATTACCAACTACTTCATTGCCTTTGACATCAGAGAACATCAACTTCCATTTGAGGCATCAGACACTGCTATTCTGGTTCAGGGAATATCCCCCTCAACTTTAATAATTACAATTACAGACTTGTACATGTAAAAAGTGAGTAACCTCAACCCATTTGGGCAGTCACAAACTAAGGGAACAGCACTGCTCTTGATGTTTAAAGTTCTGTTTCTCTCAGAAAGCATCTGAACATATTATTCAGTCTTGGCAAACTGTCCCTTCACAATGACAACACCCACATTCAACTTCAACTACTATTATTGCAAAGCACAAGCTGCATTATATCACAAAAGGTAACATGGTTACAAAGCAGTTTATTTGTTTTAACTGAAAAGAGGCAAAGAAATATACAAACAGCACTATTGCATTTCACCTTTACAAAGTACAGCAGTCATAACAAATAATTGCCAACAAGCAGCTCAGGGTTCCTACACCTCACCCTTTTTAAAAAAGGAACTACACTGTATCTGAGCACTATAAACCAGAAACGCTATTTAATTCATTTTTAATATTCAAAGCAACTCCCCCATCCATGTCTCTATGCTTCATTTTGCTGAGCAATCACTTTGAAAAACAACCCCTAGCATTTCTGGCCAAGGCAGCTTGAGTAAAGGCAGATTATTCATTCCTGGAATCCATATACCCCTGGCACAGGCATGCATGCAGGCAGGAGGGTGTACTTAGCTGAAAAACCCTCCTTCCCTCCTGTAGATTCCTGGGATATGTGACACCATTTGACTAGGCATGGAAACCAGGAAGCAACTGAAGGAATGTTAGAAAAACAAAATAATAGGAAATTATATCAAATTTGCTTGTATTTAACTTTTTTTTGTTGTTTACTTATACTAGCAGCATAAGGATTAAAAATAGTCAATAATGGTTGAGAGAGAGAGAAATTCCACTTTATTAAGACAGATTGCTCTTAAAAATAACGATTCAACTTGTTGGGTGAAATATATTTCTACATTGAGGCAGAATAGGAACTTCATATGGTAAGCAAAATATATCAAAACTGCAGGGGGGATACAGTCACACAAGAAGGGTAGGGGTACTGCCTGGTCCTTTAGGATTCCCACCTGTACCCAGTCAGTCAATCTGTTGCCTTAGCATCACACTAATAAGTGCTGATAATATAGCAACATAAGAGGCACTGGGGCTGGCAATGAATGTCTGCCAACTCTATGACACCATACACAGACAAATAGAAGAGTAGAGCAAACCTTAGTTCGGTCATACATCATGTATGGAGCTAGACTGAATTAAAAAGTATGAATATAAAGCACTAGCCCACCAACAAACATCTACAGACTGTGCAAGGAAAACAATACAAAACCAGCTACTTTGGATTGGAAGGTAGGGAAGCCCTGTATCCTATTGTACACAGAGGAATGCGTTACTGACGGTCAATACCAACGCATGAGCGGCTGCGCGCTGAAACTGATAGCCCTGCTGACCTAGGCCACAATATACGTTGGCTATGCAGAAATCTGGTCCTGCATATGAAAAAGGTAACTACAATATAAATATACACATTTGCATAATTTCACATGAACTTGTGAGAAAAGGATCTACATTTGGTAAGAAAAGTATATTAAGATTGCAGAAAACACACACACTGATCATTTCATATATACACTAACATACTGGTGGAGATTTACTAAAACTGGAGAGTGCAAAATTTGGTGCAGCTCTGCATAAAAACTAATCCAGCAGTTGCAAGTACTGTATACACATGGCTACAGGGTGGAGAATGCTTTAGCCACTTATGATTGGTTCAGAATAGTGACAGCTTCCTGGCGGGATTGCTCAAGTGGGTTCAGACTAGGATCTGAACATACCTGAGTTCATCTGTACTGACCATTTCCCGCATATACTCAATATTTCAGATATACGTTTTTCTTTTATGTATACACACACACATCACTTCATATAATCATATACACACACCTATCTAAATATATATATATTTTTTTTTTTATTTTAGACAAAAAGTGCTTGAGGTGATTGTAGCCGTATAAAAAAGCGTAAACACTACAGGATTTGCAGGTATGAAAGTTACGTCATGTTTTGCTTTAAAAATGGAGGTCTTCACGGGGCTGAGATTGAGCTCTGCAGTCACTTTTGTAGCAGTTATTTTATTCCAGGTCACAATCCTGCACAATGTCCTTTTGTCTCTTTCAGTCAGTTGACCATGTCGACCACTCCTATGCTTATCAGACGACGTTTTCCCAGAAACTGTCCTTGCCGTAATAACCTTTGATACAGTCCCTCACAACCAGCAAATAAATTGGCAACTTAATGCAGCCATACACGGGTAGTATATCGGCCGTTTTTTTTCTGCACAAGAAAAAGAAAAAAAAAAAAAAAAAAAAAAAAAAAAAAAAAAAATCGGCCGATAATCACATCGTTAGTGGGGCCAGCCCGTCGGCCGTTTTTCGCGGATCTCCTCATTTATTTTTATTGGTCATGCTGGAAAATCCGCAAAAAACAGCGGTTATTCATGGACATGGGGGGCAGCATTGGCAACAGGGCCAACCGATTTTTCGTTTATCAGCCGATAAATGGCACGTCTATGACCTGCCTAAGTCACAGAGTCACCAGCCAATCAGCACCAACAATTTGCCCTCTTTAAAGTTCAGTAAGCTGACATGACTCCGTATTACTAGCAGGGTATGCAGTGAACAATGAAAGTGTTAGCTAGGTGTCTCATCACACAGCGGAAGAAAAAGAATGTTACATCACTTTCACCGCAAATCATATCGTCACTTTAACACCTGCAAATCATGTAGTGTTTCCATTTTTTCTTTAACCCCTGTACACATATACACTATATAGCCAAAAGTATCGGGACACCTGCCTTTACACGCACATGAACTTTAATGGCCTCCTAATCTTAGTCCGTAAGGTTCAATATTGAGTTGGCCCACCCTTTGCAGCTATAACAGCTTCAACTCTTCTGGGAAGGCTGTCCACAAGGTTTAGGAGTGTGTCTATGGGAATGTTTGACCATTCTTCCAGAAGCGCATTTGTGAGGTCAGGCACTGATGTCGGAAGAGAAGGCCTGGCTCGCAGTCTCCGCTCTAATTCATTCCAAAAGGTATTCTATCAGGTTGAGGTCAGAACTCTGCCGGCCAGTCAAGTTCTTCCTCCCAAAACTCGCTCATCCATGTCTTTATGAACCTTACTTTGTGCACTGGTGAGCAGTCATGTTGGAACAGGAAGGGGCCATCCCCAAACTGTTCCCACAAAGTTGGGAGCATGAAATTGTCCAAAATGTCTTGGTATACTGATGCCTTAAGAGTTCCCTTCAGTGGAACTAAGGGCCAAGCCCAACCGCTGAAAAACAACCCCATACCATTATCTCCCCCCCCCCACCAAACTTTACACTTGGCACAATGCAGTCAGGCAAGTACCATTCTCCTGATAACCACCAAACCCAGACACGTCCATCAGATTTCCAGACAGAGAAGTGTGATTCGTTCCTCCAGAGAACACATCTCCATTGCTCTAAAGAGCAGTGGCGGTATGCTTTACACAACTGCATCCAATGCTTTGCATTGCCCTTGGTGATGTAAGCTTGGATGCAGTTCATCAGCCATGGAAACCCATTTCATGAATGCACTGTTGTGTTAATCTGAAGGGCACACGAAGTTTGGAGGTCTTTAGCTATTGACTCTGCAGACAGTTGGCAACTTCTGCGCACTGTGAGCTTCAGCATGTGCTGACCTGGCTCTGTCATTTTACGTGGCCTACCACTTCGTGGCTGAGTTGCTGTTCCCAGTTGCTTCCACTTTGTTATAATACCATTAAAAGATGACTGTGGAATATTTAGTAGCGAGGAAATTTCACGTATGTACTTATTGCACAGGTGGCAACCTATCACAGTACCACACTTGAATTCACTGAGCTTCTGAGAGCGACCCATTCTTTCACAAATCTATGTAGAAGCAGTCTGCATGCCTAGGTGCTTGATTTTATACACCTGTGGAAATGGAGGTGATTGGAACATCTGAATCCAATGATTTGGAGGCGTGTCCCAATACTTCTGACAATATAGTGTATAAAGATTTTTCTTTCTGCTTTTTAGTGTTACACAATGGTCATGCTTTACTGGTACAGGTGATCTGGATCATTGTTTGCAAAGATGTACAAAATACTCAGTGCATATATATTTCACACACTAAAATAAATATATATACACACACCCCGAGTATTTTATATACAGACTGAATATTTTGTATAGATATGGTAGGTGAATTGGCTCCTGTCCTAATTGGCCCTAGTATGTGTATGTATGAATGTGAGTTAGGGACCTTAGATTGTACACTCCCTGAGGGTTAGGGACTGATGTGAATATAATATATAAATATATATATATGAGAGAGAGAGTGCTGCATACATTGACGGTGCTATATACGTACCTGTAATAATAAAAACTCATTTATACACACACACACTAATATCTGCACACTGGATGTCTCATATATGTACTGACACAGGAAGACCCTGTAGATTGTGATAGAATGATGGGACTATGCACAGAAGATGTGTATACACACATGTATCATATACAGAGCCAGGTAAGCAGAGTATATGAAGGAGCAATGCTGGAAATGAGGAATACACAGAGGTGAGGTGTGGAGCAGTACACAGTGTAAACACACACGGAGGAGGACACAGACTGACACACACACGTCGCTGTCCTGACAGGCAGACACATAAGTACACACAACGAGCTGTATAAGGAGCCCCTGTACACACGGGTGGTAGAGAAGACCCCCTGTACACACGAGTATGGGGGAGCTCCTGACACACACACAGTATGGACCCCCCAGTGGCGGGGCCGGTGCTCGGTACCTGGTCGGGGCCGGCTGTGAACACTCCGCTCCTCACGTACGCTCCAGCACACGCGCACTTGGCGGAAGGTGCTCGCCGAGAGACACAAGCTCGGAGGAGAGAGAGAGGGCGCGCCGGGATGACGTCAGTCGCTCGGCAACAACCAGTGCTACCGTGGTCGCAGATGAAGTGAGGTCATCCGTCGGAGACGGAACACGGACGGGAAGTTCGGTGGTGATGTGGGGTGAGAATGCCTATTGGTTGGAGGTGCTAGGATTTCTGGGTCGGTTGGGTTTTATCGGGAACATTTAGTAGTTGTATAGAAGGTGGGAGAGGTACCATGGCCTAGAGTCAGTCAGAGAAGAGTACAGGGGCGGACATTACTGGCCTCATTCTAAGAAACATGATGGGAAGCAAGGGCTCCTGGTCTGCATTCTTCTTCTAGGCCAGTGCTGCTGAAAGCATTGGAGCCATTGGACCAGCATGCCAGCCAGGCAAACGGAATTTTCAAGGAGAGGTCAGCAATGGCAGTGTTTAGGTTCTCTCAGTACAGGTTAATGTTATAGTAGAGCTGCAGACAAAACATTTCATTGTGGATAGAGCAAGGGAGAGTTATAACCCCTGTCAGATCCCATAGCCGAACAGAGAGGAAATCCCTGCAAATGAAGAGAATTCCTTGGGGACACCAGAACTAGTGTACCAGTTGAAGATTACTCTCTATTACTTTTCAGGGGACATCCCAAAATTTCGGGGTTTCTTTTACTTTCGGTGATAATAGTAAACAGGCTGGATCTCCATAATGTGGGCAGACAGCAATAAAAGCTGACAGGTGTTCTAATCCCTCTCCACACTATCCAAAAAAAAAAGGTTTTGCCTTTAGTTATACTTTAAAGTATATTTTAGGCCACACTCCTCACATCTAGCATATGGCAAATGCATGTTTTTGCACTCATTTTTTGCATGTTGCACTTATCGTTCCCCATTCACTTGAATGGGCTGCCCAATGTACGTCAAATGTGCCAAAGTAGTTCTTGTACATTTTCAGGCATAGAGCTTTACCTGCTTTTTTATGATTTTCAATAGGAATGCACCGAAGTTTCGGTGGCCGAAAACACCCCTTTCGGCCATCGGCCAAAATGGAAAAAAAAAAAACTGATACAGCTGCCGAAAAAAAACCCACCCCTCACCACCGCCCGCCGCTCAGTTCTCAGCCTTACCAAGAAACCATTGAACGATCCTGGCACTGGGCATAGAGATGAGTGAAGGAAAGATGGCCTCCACTCATATCTATGCCCTTCAAGGACCGGAGCTATGTCACTTCCGAATCCGGCCATTTTTTTTTTTAAAGCACTAGATCAATGCTTTTTATGATCCAATGCTTTACATTGCAGAGGAGAGATGTGGGGTCTTTTTCACCCCATAACTCTCCTTAAAGAGGACCTATCACTAATAATTTCTATCACAAGGGATGCATGTATTTCTTGTGGTAAGAATAAAAGTGATTAAAAAATTGTTTAAAGGGACAGGGCAAAAAACCAAACATTAAATTGAAAAAAAAGTTTAAAGGGCCCTGTCCCCCCGTGCTTGCACGTAGTGGTGAACGCATACATAGCCCAAGCCCACATATGTAAATGGTGTTCAAACCACACACGTGAGGTATCGCCACGAACATCAGAGCAAGAGCAATAATTCTAGTATGAGACCTCCTCTGTAACTTTACACTGCTAACCTGCAGAAATTTTTAAAGCATCACCCATGGAGATTTTTAACCACTTCCTGTCCGGACACTTTTACCCCTTCCTGTCCAGGGCAATTTTTAGCTTTCAGCGCTATCACACTTTGAATGACAATTGCGCGGTCATGCAATACTGTACCCATATGAATTTTTTACCATTTTTTTGAGACAGATAAAGCTTTATTTTGGTGGTATTTATTCACCGCTGGGATTTTTATTTTTTTTACTATGTAAATGAAAAAGTTCAAAAATTTTGAAAAAAAGTGTTTTTTTAAATAAAATTTTGCAAATAAATAATATTTCATCATAAATCTTATCCAAAATTTATTCCGTTATTTTTTTAGTAAAAAAAAAAAAAAATCCAAATTAGTTTATAACCAAAAATTATAATTTTTAAACATTTTTTTTTATATTATTATTTTTTTTTTTTTTTTTTTTTTTTTTTTTACATACTGTCACCCTAGCAGTACACTGTCACCATGGTGACACTGTACTACGTGTGGAGGGTGATGAAGATTTTTTTTTTTTTTTTTTTTTACACTGATTGCTTTTACACCCATATAGGATGTAAAAGCAATCATTTCTCTTTCTCTCTGTCTGCATTCTTGCAGTCATTGAGAATTACTGAGTGAGCTGTGAGTGGTCACAGCTTGTCACATGGTACAAGGCTGTTGTGAATAGCCTTGTACCATGTGACCTCTGTGATCATTCACAGATTTCACACATAGTAAGCAATGATGTCACAAGTGACATCTTGCTTACTACTTTGCATGTGATCACTGATTCGCCAATCAGTGATCACATGATCGGGACCTCGTACAGAGGTCCCGTCCGACGATCGGTGTTTCACTGTGTCCAGAGGACACAGCGGGCACCGGATCGCGGTGGTGCGCGCTCCCAGGGAGCGCGCACAGCTAGAAAAGGCGGGTGCCGTTTATGGACGGCAACCCGACCCTGGACTGCCACCGCCCTGCCGTTTATAAACAGCAGGCGGACGGCAAGAGGTTAAGTACCGCAGTTTCACGCCATTCCACGAGCATGCGCAATTTTAAACCATGACATGTTGGGTATCTATTTACTCGATGTAACATCCTCTTTCATATTTTACAAACAAATGTGGGTATATGTTTTTTGGGGAGGGTTTTAATCAAAGTGTATTTTTTTCCAAAAAATATATTTTCATTTTTAAAAACTGCGCATTTCGGTTTTTTGGCCAAGTGCATTTTGAATTTTTGTTTTCGGTACCAGAATTTTCATTTCGGTGCACCACTAATTTTTACTAATTTTTCATGCATTCCACAAATATGTTTTTCTGAACATATTCCCTGAATGCACAAGTGTGAATGAGGACTAACCTTTTTTTTTTTTTTTTTTTAGTTTTGGATAGATTGGAGAGAGATTAGAACACCTGTCAGTTTTTATTGCGGCCTTTGCCCCCCATTAGGGAGATTCACCCTCTCTATTTGTCCTGTTTACTGTTATAACCGAAAGTAAAATCCTCAAATACTGGGTGGTCCCCAGAACAGGAATAGAGAGGAAATCTTCCAAGGGGACACAGTCCTGGGACCAGGCATGCCCTCCTACTTTCTGTTTTGGAAATTTACAGGAGTTATAACCCTCCTTTACTCTATTCAAAATGAAAATAAGTTTTGCCTATAGTTCTACTTTAACTACTTCCCTACTGCACTATATCCAAATGATGGCTACAGCACAGACATCCAATTCTGGGAAGACATCATATGACGCCCTCTCAGAACGCGCCCCCAGCGGTGCGTACACGGCACTATCTGTGATCGCTGTGTCCATTGGACACAGCTGATCACATGACATGGTAAAAAGCCAATCACAGCGGCCTTTTACCACATGATCAGCTGTGTCCAATCACAGCTGGCCACCATGTAAATACACTTGGCGGTTATCGGCAGCACTTTCTTCACACTGTTACAACTTGGGGTAAGTACTGCTGATAACTGGCAACTGTCAAAGGAGACATCTGCAATGATCAATGCCCTGATTATCAGTGCAGCTCCAAAAGTGTCCATTAGTGCTGCCCATCAGTTCCCAACAGTGCCGCCATTCAGTGCCCTTGAGCGCTACCTATTCGTGCCTATCAGTGCTGCTTATCAGTGCTGCCTCATCATTGCACATCAGTAAAGGAGAAAAATTACCCGTTTGCAAAATTGTTTAATTGAGACAAAGAAAACCTTATTTTTATGTTTTATGTTATTTTTATTTTTTGTTTGCTCTTTTTTTAGAGCAAAAAACGGTGATTAAATACCACCATAGGAAAGCTCTATTTGTGTAAATAAAATGATAAACATTTCAAATGGTACAGTGTTGCATGGCCACGCAATTGTCATTCAAAGTGTGACAGCAATGAAAGCTGAAAATTGTCCTGGGCAGGAAGGAGGTAAAAGTTCCCAGTAGGCAAGTGGTTAAACTGGAACTTCACTCCTTTAATTTTAATGCTAATATTAGTAAATAGATAGGAAAGTATATCATATTTACTTGTTTTAAACTTTTTTCCCACATTTCTTCAGTCATTTACTGGTTCCCAGGCCTAGGCAAATGATATCATATCTCCCAGGAGTCTTCAGGAGGGGGGGGGGGTTCTCAGCTAAGCACACCCTCCTGCCTGTATGCCTAAGCTATGGGCAGATGGATTTCAGGAAGTACATGCCACTGAAGATGACCACGGCCAGAAATGCTAGGAGGTGTATTTCAAAGTGGTTTTTCCAGCAAAACAAAGCATGGAGACATGGATGGATGGGGGAGTTTGCTTTGAATATTAAAAGTGGATTAACCACTTGCCCTCTAGAAGATTGTACCCTTACTGACCAGTCCGTTTTTTTTTGCTATTCCGACACTGCGCTATTTAATGCTGTACCCAAATGTGATCATTCAACGCTGTACCCAATCGAAATGTATGTCCTTTTTTCACACAAATATAGTTTCGTTTGGTGGTATTTGATTGCCAATGGGTTTTTTATTTTTTGTGATGTAAATGAAAAAAGAAAATTTTTTAAAAAAAAAAACGATTTTTTTTTTTTTACTTTCGGTTATAAATAAAATATAGAGTAAACTCAATGTTAGTCATAAATTTAGGCCAAAATGTATTCTGCTACATGTCTTTGGTAAAAAATATTCCCAATAAGAGTATAATAATTGGTTTGTGTGAAAGTTATAGCGTCTACAAACTATGGTATGAATATGAATTTGGCTTTTACTTTCTGACTGCCTATCACATTTCTTGAGGTGCTGAAATGCCAGGGCAGTACAAAAAACCCCCAAAAGACCCTTTTTTTGGAAAGTAGACACCCCAAGGAATTTGTTGGGAGGCATGTTGAGTCCATGGAACATTTTACTTTTTTTCCACAAATTTTTGGAAAATTACATGGTTGTTTTTTTTTATTTGTTTTTTTTTTTTTTTACACAAGGTTGTCGGATGATATATTGCTCATGCAAGCCATGGGTATATGTGGAATAACACACCAAAACACATTCTGCTACTTCTATGGGGATACCACATGTGAGAGTCTTTTTGGCAACCTAGCCACATACATTTGTGCTTCTGCTATTTTGGCATTTCAGAGCCATTATTAGAAGCTTATGCCACACATCACCCACTTTTCTAACCACTGGAAGACCAAGCTTTTTCTGACACTTTGTGTTTACTTGAAAAAAAAAACTGTTTTTTTAAGCAAAGGCCCTAGAGAATAAAACGGTGGGTGTTGAATTTTTTTATGTTACCCAGTAAAATGCAAATGTTTTGGAAAAAATACACTTTTTAGAATTGTAATGCACAAAAACACACTATATTACCCAATTGTTTGATAAAATGTAAAAGATGATGTTACACTGAGTATATGGATACCAAACATGACATGCTTTAGAATTGTGCATGCCCATGCAGCGGTGACAGATTACGTAAATTTGTAATAGCCATATGCAATGCTTTTAAAAGCCTTTACAGGTCACCACTTTAGATTTACATAGGAGGTCTAGTGCTAGAATTACTGCCCTCGATCTGACATTCGCAGTGATGCCTCACATGCATGGTGCAATCCCTCTTTACAAACTGCCATGGGACCAATGCTTGTATTTGCCTTTGCGCGTAAGCATGGGGGTGAATTTTTTTTTTTTTTTTTTAGTTTTGCTTTTTTATTTTTCTTTACACTGTCCCTATCCTTTTTTTTTTTATCACTTTTATTATTACAGGGAATGTAAATATCCCCTGTGATAGCAATAGGCAGTGACAGGTACTCTTTTCAGAGAAATCTGGGGTCTATTAGACTCTAGATCTCTCCTCTGCCCTTAAAACATCTGATAACACCAAGATCGGGGTGATCAAATGCTTTCCCAATTTTAAAATGGCACCATTTATATCTGGCGAAAAAGAAATGATGGAATGCTCGTAGCTTCTGATCTTTTAGATCTTATAGATGATTGGAGGCATTCCAGTCTCCAGTCAGCTCTGTTGTCAGCCAGTGGAATGGCTGGCTGAATTTTTGGGTTTTCCTGTGGGACGGGAGATCCCAAGAAAACCTTGGAAGGTGGCGGGAGGGGTGGGGAGAGTCCGTTCCCTCTGTTTGTAAAAGTGATGCAGCAGGTAATTAGCTGCTAGGATTGTTTTTACATGAAAACCAACCACCAGCTGAAAACAAGGATACTAGGATGATGCCTGTAGCTTCAGGCATCATCCAAGTATAACCACTCAGTCCAGCGACATACCAGTACATTGCTGGTCCATGATGGGCATATATGTAACAGCAGAGAACACGGGCATATAATGAATCGGGTCTATGGACCAATATGACCACAATTCATTCTTTTTTTGTAATGCCCGTTTTGAGGGTTAGGCCCAAAAAAGGTTTAAATTCAGAAACTGTGATAGATTTCCATGCGAATTGTCTGGCAAGAGCTGAACTAGGGTGGGCAGTGTTGTATTGTGTATAAATTGCTTTGGCTCACAGTCAATTGATACAGATCTTCCATGAGCGGCTAAACGCTTGCGCTGGTGGAGAACAGACCTGATCCTGCTAACATTGCATTTTTGGGGACACTATACAAAGGAGGCACTAGTATAGTTTTGTTCATGATCAATATATTGATCTGTGCAAACACTGTACTATTAATGACATTGATAAGCGACCTGTAGCGTTAATATTGTGCGGATAATCTAACGCTAGCTGACCCTGGCTGGGAGGGGTGTTAACTGACCCTGACGCTATCTGATCTTGCTAGTGGCAGTGATCAGTGAAAAATTCTATATACTGACACTGTACTAATGGCACTGTCTGGGTGACGTGGTGATCAAAGAGTTAAATGTGCTAATCTAACGTGTGTGTAAAATATAGTGCTTTTACTCAGTGCCGTGTTTGTTCTTCTCTCCCTGGACAGCATAGGGGGCAGCAGGGGGGTGCACAAATGTGTGCACACTCTAGGAAATAAAAAGCAACGTAAGATTTGCCCAGAGTCACCACTCGCCCGCACATTGTTGACAGGCAGGTGGCAAGTAGTTTAAAAAAAAAAAACATTTTTTTAATTTCTCTCAATTTTTTTAAACCTTCTTTTTTAATTTTTATTTTTTAACATTTTTATTTATTATTTTGCATTGCTTTGAACTGTCATGAATGTGTTAAGTTCACAATAGTTCAATATAATAGTGATCTGTGATTGGTTCCAGCTGGTCACATGGTACAGGGTGCTGTGAATGGCCCCATGTGAGAACTGTGGAACAATCACAGCTCTCCAGGAACAGAAGCTAAGTTTTTATCAATCAGATTGATTCATAAAAACTTTGTTGTCATTGTGATCATGTGAACGCACATCGATCACATGATCACCAGATCCAATTACCAGGATTCTCATTCCGCGGTGTCTGGTGGACACAGCAGGCATGGGGGGGTTGAGTTGCGTACCCTGTGTTGGCAAAAGACCATCAATGTACGGGTACGTCGCTGGTCCTGTAGCTGCCACCCATCTGCAGTACATTGTGGGGGTGCAGCCTGAAAGTTGTTAAATAGCTTTTTTCGGTTTGTGATACTCAGATGCAGTGTAGTTCTGCTTTAGCCTCTTCAGTTCCAAAGCATTTCCTTCATGTATTCACAGTGAGGCCAAGAGCTCTTTATTTTTTATTTATTTATTTATTTATTTTCATTTTGAAATTACCTCAATTCTGCATCTTTAAATTTTTTTTAGTCTACCCTGAACTTTTATGCTTCTGGATAGATAGGGTTTTAGGTTTCTGTTAGAATTGGGTTCTTTTATTTTTATTTCCTGGGTATTTAGGCCTTTTATTTTTCTAAAATAGTTCACAATTTTTGGTATTTAAGAAATAGCGAAAAAAATGCATTTTTTTCCTGTAATGTTTCCCAGTGCCACTTTTACATTAGGTGGACGTGCCTAGATATTTACCCCAAAATATAACCAAGACAGTGTTCTGATTTATAAGGATGTCACATCAGTCAGTTTTCTATGTAACGTTTCACAATGGTAAAGTTTAAAGTGAAAATTTGTTTTGTAAATCAGGAGAGATTTTGTCCCCTTTTTAAAGCAGAACTAAACCCTCCTATCCTTTTCAAACAAGGAAGCTTGAAAGCCATCCTAACCTCCTTTTGGTCTGCAGCTGTCATGGTGCTGCACATGTGATCAGTTAGGACACCAGCCATTTAATGGTTTGACAGTTGGGTAGAGAACACTAGAAAATGTGACAGTTAACATTCCCAGAATGCCAGGAATGTAAGGACTCATTCACACCATGGTGCAGAGGCATGAGTTTTTCTGCACGCGTTCTGCAATCATTGAACATAAAGTGGGGAGGTAATATTTTTTTTTTTTAATTATCTTATTTAGTTTTATATATTTTATTTTAAGATTCAGTTCCAGAACTGAACTCTGGAAACTGTGCCCAAAAATGGTTGACACACCGTATGATCTGAATACAAGATCTTTGCTAACCTATAAGACCACAGCATTGTGTTGTGAGTCCAAGCACTTTACAACAGGAATAAAGTACAGATAATTTACATCTTTAACTTGCTTTACAAGACTAAGCGAACAATGTAGATTATATATACCATGTGCTGTTTTTTCATCCAAGGTCTACTTTAAGTAACTGCAGTATTGAATACATTGTCACACTCATTGTATTTTGTTGCAGGAATTGCTCAGCAAACTCAGGATGGACCAAGTGGTGTTTTAGCTTTCAAAACAGAATTTTAAATCATTCCCTTTATTTTTGTGCCCTTGGATTTTTAGAGCGAATGAATGTGGTTTTTCCTCAATTTTGAAGAATGCTCGGCTTTCTGTGGTCCCGGATCTCTGGCTTAGATAGTCCTGTTCGCCTCACACGAGCTGAAGCCACACGGAGAGTGCTAAGTTTGGAGTTAAACAAGGACAGGAATGTTGAGCGAATGCATGAAAATGGGATTAATGCGCTTGACATTGAACCTGTGGAAGGAAGATATATGCTATCTGGTGGATCAGATGGCATTATTGTTATTTATGACCTTGAAAATTTGAGTAAAAAGCCTTCGTATACATGCAGAGCACTGTGTAAGGTTGGTAAAGGCCATCCTGACGTACACAAATTCAGTGTTGAAACTGTTCATTGGTACCCTCACGACACTGGAATATTTACGTCAAGCTCATTTGATAAAACTCTGAAGATATGGGACACAAATTCACTAAAGCTAGCTGAAGTCTTTCAGTTTGATGGTACTGTTTACAGCCACCACATTTCTCCACTAGCTACCAAGCATAGCTTAATAGCAGTTGGAACAAAAAATCCTAAAGTTCAGTTATGTGACTTAAAATCTGGCTCTTGTTCGCACATTTTGCAGGGTCACAGAGGTGAAGTGTTGTCTGTCTGCTGGTCTCCACGATATGATTTTATTTTAGCAACTGCGAGTGCTGACAGTAGAGTAAAACTATGGGATGTCCGCAAAGCTACTGGGTGCCTGCTAACACTGGATCAATACAATGGAGAGAAATCGAAATCATCCTCAGAGGCTGCTAACACTGCCCATAATGGAAGAGTGAACGGGTTATGCTTTACCAGTGATGGGCTCCACCTATTGACTCTTGGCACAGATAACAGAATGAGACTTTGGAACAGTGCTACAGGGGAAAATACTCTGGTTAATTATGGCAAAGTTTCAAATAACAGCCGTAAATGTGTGAAGTTTACAGTTTCAGCAGGCTGCAATCCAGACTTTGCATTTGTTCCAGTTGATAGCACAATAGTTGTGTACACCATATATACTGGTGAAAAAATAAGTGTCCTGAAAGGACATTATAGTGATGTAGACTGCTGTGTCTTTCAACCTCAATATCAGGATTTGTATAGTGGAGGCAAAGACTGTGATGTTTTGGCTTGGGTACCCGCAATGCGGGAGCCTGTTCCTGTTGATGACGCTGAATCATCTAAGTCACAAGCCCATATTCACCCTGATTTTCAGGATGCATGGAGTAGCAGTGATGAGGATTCTTGACCTAAATGAACTTTTTCTTTTTTTTTGTCATTCATATATTCTGTTATTAAAAAGAGCAGCCTTTTTGTCTTAAAGCAATATTAAACCCAAAACCAAAATTGTAATATATTGCAGTTCATTGATCATTAGTTGTAGTGGCTGCATTAGTTTTCTTTATTTTTAGGCTTTTTCCCATTGTTTACACTTGCTGATTTGGCCAGTAACACAACTCTTGTCGTAGAGTGCTTACACTCTGATAGAAGAAGCAACAGATACACCTTTGGACAGCAGCACTTTCAGCTTGGGGGGTAAGGGAATGTTAGATTCTCAGTTTTATTTCTTTTTGGATAAAGGTTTTACCTAAATAAATGCTGACCATTGTAAGCGCCGTTGTCAGTGGTAAAGGATTTACCTCAACCTTCTAACTGCTATATCTGAAAAGCAGCTTGGTCTGTTGAAAAGCAAGAGATTTAATGGCCGGATCACCTCGTGAGAAATAAAGGAAAGAGCCTAAAAATGAAAAACTAATGCAGCCACCACACTTAAAATTGTTAAACTGCAATATAATAAATGTATGTTTTTAGGTTTAATACCTCTTTAAAACTAATCTTTTGTGAAAGTGATGTTTATAATTTTGTTTATGTATGAAAAGACTTGGTTCACATGTCACTTTTTAAAGCACTGTAGTCCCATAATACAGTGCAGTTTCTGATTTACACGAGGGACATGGTAGATTTTCGATATATGGCTCTGCCTTGAGGGCAAGTTCACACCACACTGCACTCTGGATGTGTTACAGATGCCTTTTTGCTTACAGTTCACACCTCACTCAGTTCCAGTGCATTTTTTATGTGTTTGCTGTGTTCCAGTACAGTTCAGTGCAGAATAACTGCACTAGATTGCATCTAGAGTGAAGCAGCCATTAATCTTTATCATCTTTTTTGTGGCAGTTAACTTTTAAATGACCACAGTAGGGTTTTTCTGAACAGTGGTGGTTCGCTTTAGGTAGTGGTAGATGCTTTAGGTAACAGGTATTTGCTTTTTCAAGCCCTGACCCTCTGAGGACGTGCATCGCACGAAACGCGTCAGGGGGGGCTACAGCTCATGGACATCTAGCCACTGTTTGTGGCCAACTATTTATGGTCAGTACTCTTCCTTTGTTTACCCCTTTTTTGACTAATAAACGCTAGTCTCAACAATATTACACTATGTGGCGTCCTTCATTGGGCTCTCTCTGAGAGCACCATCTCCCACAGTACTTCTTTGGATCAAGGAGTTCCCTGACGCTCACACGTTCGGATGCTACTTGGCCACCTCTCCTTGCGGTGAGACAGAGGATAGGACGCAGTGCGACCTGACCAGAACCCTGATGCTGGAGAGATCTTGCAGCAGTTACTTCCTTACATGCGTTATTTTAACGCACTTCTGGTGAGTGCGCACTCTATCTGTTTTTCCTGGATCTCCTTTACCTTATACTACCATCACCCTGGGACGAGAACTTTTTGTGTGCTCTCAGCACTCTTTACAGACTCTATGCATTATTCACCTCTGTGGTATATCTGTTTTGACCACTGATATTTATATTTATCCTATTGAGTAATATTTATAATTTGTTTTAGCGCTGCACCTACTTTTCTTTTATTATTGACTATTTTAAGGAGGATTGGTTGCCTTTTTGGTGTTCTAGCTGCTTGTGCTCTTGTACCTGTAGCGCTCGCTATACTTTTTTCACATATTTGCTTTTTAACCCCACTATTTTGTAGATGCCTTAATTGCACATTCCATGAGTAATTTAGCTAGTACCCTCCTGCCCACAGTAAATTTACTGCGGACGACACATGCGGGCTGGATTGTGTACTTGTACGTCATCCAGCCTGTTCTGTTAGGGCCGTGCCCCCTGCTAACCTGCACTGTCACTGGCTACAGCGGGGTTTTGTAAGCAGGTCTCCGCCAATGATTTATGGCTGAGACCTGCAGATTGGCTGTAGCCAATCACAGCACAGAGTCCTGCGTTTACAAACACACAGGGCTTTGTACATAGATCAGAGATCTGGCTCTTTTGTTAGTAAAAACAGCACACATTACACTTATTAGGCACACCGCTAACCCCTTGATTGCCACTTAATGTTAACCCCTTCCCAGCCAGTATCATTAATACAGTGTACTGTATTATATCTTATTAATTATTAGTGTCACTATTGGTGTCAGCGCATCTCCCAGCAAGGGTTTGTTAGCAGCAGATGGCCCGCCACACTATCAGTCCCAGTAACAGTTGCTGATCACCGCCATTACAAGTATAGCGTCAGAGCTGTGGAAATTCTAGTATATATACCATCGTTTGTTGACGCTATAACTTTCATACAAACCAATTAATGGAAACTTATTGGGATTTTTTTTACCAAACACGTGTAGCAGAATACATTTTGGCCTAAATTTATAAGGAACTTTTTTTTTTTTTTTTTATTGCATATATTTTATAAAAGTAGAAAATATTGGGTTTTTTTTTTTTTTTTCAAAACATTCTGTCTTTTTCGTTTACATAATAACACAATAAAAACCTAGTGAGGATCACATACCACCAAAAAAAAAAAGCTCTATTTGTGTGAAAAAATGTATAAAAATTTCATTTGGGTACAGTATTCCATGACCGACCAATTGCCTATTAAAGTAGCATAGTGCTGAATAGCAAAAAAATGTTCTGGTCATAAAGGGGCTAAAACCATCCGGAGGTCAAGTGGTTAATGAATGGAGGACATTCTGATAACATGGTGTTCATGTGAACTGCATTTAGCAGGTTACCAATATAAGCTCAGGCTTAGGAAGGTGTTTGTTTTGCTGGCAAAATCTAAAACCCCGTACACACGGGCCAAATATCGGCAAAATCAGCTGGTATAGTAGAATCCAGCTGTCATGCGGGCCCATGTGTACAGGTCCTTGTCTGACAGAAAAACTGATCTCACAACCAGCTTCTTTAGAACGAGCATGCTGAGGAACTAGCAGCAAATCTGCATCCAATCGGCACTCTCAACCAGTGGCTGCTAATGCTGACCAATGTGTTCTGGTGCAGGTTGGTCCACTTGTCAGAACACAATAGCACACCAGCGAGATCGCTGTACTAACATCTCATAGTACAGTGACCTCCTCGCAAGATTCTCAGTTTCTGTTCGTCAAGCCCGCTGGGTTGAACAAAAAAACATGTAGCAACTGTCTGCATATGTACCAGGAATTGGGCTCAAAACCTGAAATGCAGCTCTCAAAAACATAGAGAGCATGGATTTGCACTGCATATCACTGAAGGTCAGGGTTCATCCCAAACAAATTTTAATATTAGTAACCTCGCTCAACACTTATGCAGGCCATAGACAGTTTCTTTTTTCGGCCGATTTTTCATCCGAAAGAATAATCGGCCGATTTTCGCACTGTTAATGGGGCAATGGCATCAGCCAATTTTCGCGGTTCCTCCTCATTTCGTTTATCGGTCATGCTGGAAAATTCGTGAAAAATGGCCAATTTTTGCAATCATTGGTGGCAACATCAATTTACAGAACAAACCATGTTTTGTTTTTCGATAAACAAACCATCTATGGCCTGCATTAAAGGTAACTGCAATCCAAACAAAAAGGGGGGCTTTTAGAAACTAAATGGACTTTATGGCAACTTAAAGTAGAGTTCCAGCTGAATAAAAAAGTCATCAGCTACAAAAACTGTGGCTGCTGACTTTTAAAATACAGACACTTACCTGTCCCTTGGTCCTCACCACAGCTGGTTTCACCGGCCGTCTTCTCTCCCTGTCGCCGTCATCTTTAGTGTGGGCACCCGGCTGTGACAGCTTGCGTCTTCACAGCTGGGTGCCCACTGCGCATGCGTGAGAAGTGCTTCCCTTTGTGAATGGCCCCGTCGTCTTCTGGGATCTGTCACGTGTCCCACAAGACTACGGGGAGGGAGGACAACCTCCACTTCCAATTGCCTAGGTGATCACAGCAGAAGTGGGAGTGGGTACCTGTCAAATTCGGGTACCTCCCTCGCTCCCCAAACTTGCCAATCCTTAATGGGGAGTGTGGGACAAAGCATTAAAGCGTAACTTCCCTTTTTGGTTGGAAATCCGCTTTAAACTTAAAATGTTTTTAACATTGCGATATTTATCTCCTATTCACCTCCCTGCCTCACCTCCTCTTCTCGCAATTGTGGCTGCAATCTTCCTTGGTCTATCTGACCTTGGCTTAGTATCAAGAGATCCCTGAATTTTCCACTTTTTAATAGGGGATTAAACAGTACTGACTGGCATTTTCAAGGCTTTGGATATATTATATCATCCTTTTCCATCTTTACAAAGTTCCATTACCTTGTTACACAGGTCTTTTTGACAGTTCTTTTCTGCTTCCCATGGCCCAGTATCTAACCTGCTCAGTGCATCCACGTGAGAGCTAACAAACTCATTGACTATTTATACACAGACACTAATTGCAATTTTAAAAGTCACAGATGTGGGAAATTCACTTATAATTGCCAATTTAACCCGTGTGTGTGCCACTTTGTGTGGCTGTGGCAAGGCCAAACATTCCAGGGTATGTAAACTTTTGATCAGAACTGAAAAGAATAAGCGCTGTGGAAAATGCTCTTAGTCAAGCACCTTAATGAAGGTGCATTTTTATTGGGTGAGACAAAGTAGCAAATATAATAAAATTTGACTAGCCTAAGGTGAACAGTGTGACTCCAACGGACGGCCAGGAAGGGAGCTGGAATCAGAGAACGCTTCTGTTGGTTTCGAATCATGTGGTGTCAGCGTACAGGCTTCACGGGTAGCGCCATCACGGCAAGCGAAGGCAGTGTCCGGCATCGGCTTTAGCTGGGAGCGTATACAGGGTTACCAAGACGACATGTTTCACGCAGTTGCGCTTTTGTATAGTCTCTGGTAACCCTGGCCGGCGGCCATTATATAGAAGACCATTAGAGGGAAGGCTGGCTGAGTGTAATTAGCAGGGGATGGGGTGTCAATCAGAGCGGACGGCTCATCCTAAAGC